TATATATATGCGTGTGTGTGTGTGTGTGTGTGTAAGCTGGCTTAAACTAAAAGTATCAAAAATGCTAAAATTATCAAAAGACTAGCTCAAAGCTAAAAACATCAAAAGGCTACCTTAAAGCTAAAATGATAAAAAGAAACTAACTTAAAATCTAAAAATTAAAAATAGCAAAAGGCTAGTTAGAAGCTAAAAGTATCCTAAACTTATCCGATGGCTAAAGGTTTTTGAAAGTCTAGCTAAATATATCTAAAGGCTAGCCAAAAGCCAAATGTATCAAAAGACTAGCTAGAAGCTAAAATTTTCAAAAGTCTAGCTAAAAGAAAAAAAAAAAGAAGAAAAACACAACTCAGAACACCCATCTTCTGAATGAGCCGATTGTTTTGATGTATGAATAGCTAAAATAGCATGAAGTAGAAGTGTTTGATTGCAGAAGAGGAAGGTAAAAAACAGGAAAACAAGAGTACAGATGTTGAATCAGCATTCCCACAACGAGATAATCCATTATGTGGCTTTAAGTGCAGCCTGTCTTGTTTGTGTTTTCAGATTCTGAAGCTGTGTCCCAAGAAGAAAAGCTCGGCCTCGTACACTTTCTGTAAAGCTATGGGCCTCCTGGGAATGCAGTTTCACCTCTTCAGCAATGAGTGTAAGATGCTACTTTACTTTGCAGCGATTTATTCCCATCATATTTAAAGTGTTGTTCTCCAAAACTGCTGAGCTGGCAGAGACGTCTACATTACTGGTTTCCGTCAACTCAGACTCCGTACTCAGGCTGTGAGGGGTCGCCAGGAAAAACTAAAATATGGCACAGATTAGAGTAGGTGTTTTTTATTATTAAATGTGCTTCTACTAACAATTTAAGTGTATTTATAAGACAAAGACAAGTGCTTTTCCTCAGCCTGGAGCTCTCTGTGTCTGACTTATGTAACTTTTGGGGGAAAAAAGCCTGTAACAATTCAAAATTCATTCCCCTATGTATGAATCTGTGGAAACCTACAAAACACAGCTTGTAGTCTCTTCAGAAAATAACAATAAGAGGACCCAAGTCACACGTACCTTTTTTTATTTTGATATCTCAATGGCCCTGCAGTATTTTATCCTTTAATCATCAGACAACTGAATGAGTTTTTGATCCATTTTACCGGGTGGGCAGTAGTCGTTCAGAGACATTATGAAAGGCGATGGAGAAAATCCAGCTTTACTCTCAGCCGGGTGAATTACTACACCCAGTCCAAAACATGAATGAAATATTTATAGGTTCTTATGGCTGAGGAGCTGTAACATCCTGTTGAAAGGTTGGACAAACCGGGAAACTGGAAACAGAAAGGTCGGAAAAGCTCATAATGTCAGGGAGTTACTGAAGAGGTAGCAAGAAGTCCAAAGACGTCCGATGATGAATAAAGACTGACAGAACAGGGTCAGGAACTCACAAACCAGAGCTGGAGTTTTGACAAATTGGCTACATTTGGACCAGCAGAACACTAGCTCTGTTTGGGAAGCACAACATCAATCAAGCTGTGGTGAATCGATCCCTTTCGACAGTACGAGCAGGTTTTTTATGAGCTTAATACACAGCTTTTATTTATAGCAAAGCCATCGGGATTTTGATTTCCACAAGACCCGACCAGAATCTTGTTTTCACTGTGAACCGGTCTTCAGGGTTCTAACCTTTACTGGGGATTGGGGGGGAGTGGGGGTCTCAAAATGACTTAAAACTTTTCCTGGAACCAGTTCTCTATCAGTCAAAGGGCTTCTTGTTTTATAATAGAATAGAATAGAAAAGAATAGAAATAGCCTTTATTGTCTCGCAGAGATGAACTTCAGTTGTCACAGCAACATCAGTACAGAGGTTCGCACACTAGTTACTTTTCCAACTATAGATAGTACACACAAAAAAATAACACTGACAAGCATAATATAACTACTAATAATAAAAATATAATATAAATATAATATAAAGAATTGTGCAAGAATAGAAAACAATGTTTTGTTTCAGAATCTGACATTAGGAATCAGAGAAATATTTATATACATATATTATATATTACTATAATAATAAATAGTATATAATTATTATTATATACTATACATATTACTGTTACTGTAGACTTCTTGTTAACTTTTATTATTTGTTACCATTTTAGAGTACATTTTTCTTATAAATGATTAGGAATAATGTTGTAGTTATTAATTTGGCTGTAAACACATAATAAACCATTAACAAACCACTGTAGGTAAACAGGGCAATATAGACGATTCTTGCCAAATAATGAGCCAGTATTTATCTGTATTGTTTACCTGAATGTTTACCTCATTGACAAAAATTCATTTCTGTTTATTTACATAGCGCCAAGTCACAATATTCGTTGTCTCAGGACACTGTAGATAAAAAGAACACTGTAAAGAAGAAGCCAGCAGCAAAAGTTACCTGCATGAGAGATTTGTACATATAAAGGTGTTTTGGTAAATTTGATTTCTAGTTTAAAAAAAAATAGGCAAGTAAAAGTTTATTGAATTAACCTGAATTTTAGTCCATCACTTTATTACATCTATCTCTAATAAAACAACAACAAAGAGTAAAATTCCTCAGCTGCTGACATTAGCCTTGGTAACTGTGTGTAAGAACCTGTATGATTAGAAGTGATTTTCACAATGTGGACAACATTACTTTAAAGACTGAGAGCACTGGTGGGCTTTATGTAACAGTGGAGATGGACAGGAATGTGCTCACATTATTTCAAAAGTCCACAAAATTCAGCGATATTGCAAACGCACTTTCTTGTCGTGTCTGGTCCTTTGAGCAGATTACGCTCACGGCGTCACCATGATGAGCCCGTTTACCTCCGAGAAGAAGCAGCTGGTGAGTTTCTGCTCCCCAAGCGGAGAGGAGCTCAGGAAGTTCGCGGAGGAGCTCAGGGAAGCCATCGCAGAGGTCAACGAGATGGAGCAGATACACATTCAGAGTAAGAAAACAAGCACGGAGTCTGGAAATACAATACAGCACGCGTCATCGCGTAACTGATTGCAAGCTCTCTCTCTCTCTCTCTCTCTCTCTCTTTTCTTTTTTTTTTATTCTAGTGGAGTTGGAGAGGCAACAAGGCATCCAGCCACATGTTTTACACACCAACGGCGGTCAAATGGACACACACACAGGACATGGCTCTCCCTCAGGTGCTGGTTTTGCTTGTATAGCATAATGCATCATACATTAGCTAAATGTCACCCCCCCTCCCCCCCACCGGTATGAGAGTCTGTTTCTGGTTTTCTGTACATGTATATGCCTGCTGACTAACAAAGAACCCGTTTCTCCCCACAGGCCAGCAGGATGCGTATGATAACACTGGCAACAACAACACAGTAGAGGTGAGTGTCTCAGCTTCTCTCGTCTCCCTCAGGTAAGTATCTGCATATCCAGCTCTGTCGATGTGTTTTTTTATGTGTGTGTGTGTGTGTGTGTGTGTGTGTGTGTGTGTGGTTAGACAGGGACTGTGTCTCATCCTGAAAAGAAAGAGCTTTTTGCTTTGCTTTGGTAAAGCTCTGCCTGCAGCACATCACTACGAAGCAGCCAACGATACAAAAAAGGCCACTAAGAGGTAGTGGTGTTGCAAACGGCCTCGATCATTCTGGACCCCGCGAGCAGACCAGCAGCCCCTCACTATAAAACACACCCATCCCTCATGAGCTACCAGGCTCAACATTTAGGCCTCCATAAACCTCGCTGGCTCCATTAAAACCATCCTACAAAAGCAGATGAGCTTCATACTTGTTTGAGACAAGCCGAGACATATTTGCATTTGATTAACCGATGGCTGGTGTTAAAGCTTTAACAGGTTGACTGGCACCCAACCCTTTTTCTTCTGCCTTTAGTGTGGAAGTTTTATTTGTGAATAAAACCCTATTATCTGCTATTTATCAGCTTATTAGTTGTAATTCTCCATTTGTCACTATAAAAAAGTAATAAATGATTTAATATTCTAACAGATTTGCAACACTGCTAGACTTCATTTTAACCCAAGGGCTTGTTCTGACCAGAGGCACTTTAGGAGGTGTAATCTGGTTTACGAAGGCAAGAAACTGTAAAACATTTACAAGAAAAGTTTTATTTATAAAGATGCCCCTGTGCAGTCATTTGTAAAACATTTGTTTTAAGGTTTTCAGCGAGAGGCGGACGAGTCCTTGGGACTCAAGGCCACCTTAGAGTGTGTTATTTTGTAATTTAGTAAAGTGCATATAAATCAATTTTCAATCCAAGCAGGAATTTTGAAATAAACAAATTTAAGGGAGTGTTTTTTTATTTTAAATTCGGCAAGGTTCACCTAAAAAAAATAAAAGTCTAAAGTAAAATATGTATAGATAAAATGAAACTATACGTAGTTTGGTGTAAAAAAATTAACTTGAAATCAGCAGGTTGAATTATTTTTTTTATCTTTTTATTTTTAGCCATATAAAGAAAACAAATACATTTTATAGCCCTTAATAGGTAAAGAATGAACAAACATATACATACATACTGTATATATATATATATACAGTATATACAGTATATACAGTAATATGGACAAGACATTGTCTGACTCATCCAATTCATGTGTTATATAATAAAACTATATTTAGACCTAAATAAGAATGCCTTTAGCTCGAAAAGGAGTGGGAAGAAGACAAACGTATTTAGTTATAAAATATATAAATCAGAAACAGCTTTAAAAGCCGTGTTTGTTGCATCTCTAGTTTGTTTTGTAAACAATATGTGATTTGGTTTTGTGTTTAATCTTTGTAAAACCAGTGCATTTTTTTTGTAAATTAGGCCATTTCCTCCTCATTTCACTTATTTTCCCTGTTTCCCCCTGTTCCCTCTGCTTCTTTTTTAGCCTTTTAACTTTGTAACTTATTGTGTTAGGGAGACACCATGCCCTCGGTGTCAGCTCTTTCCTTTCCTGACACTCCTTTTATCTTTAGGCTTCTCCTTCTGCCCCTCGTTGTCCCATTATCGCACACGCACACGCAGAAATCTCAAAGCGGTTCCTGTAAGAGTTCCTGCCTAAGATCTCTTCTTACCTCACCCCTCACCCCACTTCTGAGCTGTGTGTAAAATATGATTAAGCTGAAAATGGTTGAGTCGAGAGATGAGGGAAAGCCGGAGAGAGTGTGTACTCTGCATGCACTTCTTTGCACTGCATGCTACCACCTGCATGCCAGCATGCCCGTGTGCGTAACTCACCAGAGGGCTGCGTGGAGGCTGCGTTCAGGCTGGTAACTCCTGGTGCGTTCTCTGACTGTTCCTAAACTAGGTGTCAATTCACAACAGGCTGCAGACGTATCAGCTGAGCCAGCCCAGCATTGAGTCGGCGCCCCTGGCCCTGGCCGCGCCGCCCGCCCTCCTCAGCCCCATCCAGGCCGGAGACCTCCGCCCGGAAACGCTCATCCAGTGCCAGCAGATCGTCAAGGTGATCGTCGTGGACCAGAGCGGGCGGGGCCGGATGGAGGCCTTCCTCAGCCAGGGCCCCGCCACCCACCAGCTCATCCAGTCGGCCATGTCGACGCCCGTCCGCGTCCGGGACGGGGACGGGCCCCAGCCGCCCCTGCCGCCTCCCCCTCCCCCATACAACCACCCCCACCAGTTCTGCCCCCCTGACTCGCCCATGCCCTTTCACCACACCATGCCTCTGACTCGCAGGCGCAACTCCAGCGGCTCCCGCAGCATCGTTTGAGGCGCAGCAAACATGGTGGAGCACAAGATGACCTCAGAATACAAGCAGCGCAAAAAAAAAGTTAAGAAAATAAACATGAAATAGAAGGAAAAAGAGATTAAGAATCTGTCATAGTCTTGATTGTTGTTTTTAAAGATGGAGTAGCTTTAAAGGCAAATCTGAAAAGACCTTCCGTCCCCTTTTTTATTTCCAACATGTCTCCTGGTGACCCGTTTCCACTTCACCCATTTTGGATTTTTAATGCCACCAGATCAAGATATGCATCTTTGAGCAAGGATGGTGAAACTCATAAGGTTTAAGAAAAAGAACCCATCTCTGAAAGGACACGTTACTAAATATGAAGAACAAAATATGTCCATTGTTTTTCAGTTTATTTCTTTTTTCAGCGCACTGATGTTTGATGTAAACCTTTATTTGAAACCGTGTTTCATGAGGAATTATTTCAGCACTCTGCATAATGTGAAGAAACAAGAGTACCAGCTTATTTGTTCCCTCATTTTCTAGGGAACAGGTAATCAGTATGCGAAGAAGGAGAGAAGGAGACAAAAAACCCCGATGAACGGCTCTGTCATCGCTACAATGTCATGTGCAATTTGGAGTAGCGAGCGAAGGTGCTGCTACTCAATGACTTAAAACAATTTTCTGAAGACAATCATGTTTCTGTGCTTCATTGTGTGTTTTGCTCAAATTGTCGTAGCACAAGTAGCGTCTCAGTGCTCTGATTCAGCGGCGTGTCGCTCCGACAGAGCTCAGGAAGAACAGCAAACTGCGTTACTGTATCTGCACCTCTGAGCTGCACTAAGAGCAGAGAGTGTGTGTTCTGTTTCTTCAGTCTGCTTACTTTTGGGCCACAGGGAATCGGGCTGCTAATTCATTCAAAACAAGGCTAAAACGGGCAAATGACACCTTTTCCTTTTCTGTATGTTTGCTCCTATGAATACCTGATGTAATTATTGATGTTACGTTTTTGGATTTCAACTATGCCTTTGCCCAAAACTATTTTTTTCTTTTCCCTTTTTTTAAAAGCTATATTTAAATTATGCTACACAGGGTAGATGCATCCCAGAGATATATGAACTCTTATGTTTTTGTTTAAAAAAAAGCAACAATGCATTTCTGTACTGAATGTTAAAACGATATTTCAGAGTCTTTTTGTGTGTGAGGTTTCTGTGAGGTTATGAGCAGTCAATATCTTATCTGTTGTAGATAGATTTTAACAGATCAGTTTTTTATGGTCTATGTCCATTTTTAGAAATCATGGCAGGGACAGACGATACACAAGCCTGATACCAACAGCTTCCTAAAATACTCTAGTCTTTTTTTTGAAGTTAGTCAAGAATCTCAAAAAAATGTTACAATTTTCTTTACGTTTTTAATTTTTTATTTTTTGTGGTTCCTACAAAACCAGATGAATTTTTCAGGAAGGTGTCCATATTTTTAATTTGGTTAAATATGTATTTTTTAATTTACCAAAGTATACTTATTGATTAACTTGCAAAAATCATATATTTTTCAACCTTTAGACAAATGTGGGCACCTAAAACAATAAATTCTCAAAAAAAAAAAAAAAAACAACTAAAATGTTGGCTACAATAAACTGCTTGTAGCAGCTGCTGCATGTTATATTTGCACAGGCAGGGTTGATTTTAAAAAGAAGTGGCAATCAGTCTTTCTCTAAACTGAGACTGTTCAAAGAGCTCATCTACAACAGATATTGTTTATAACCTTTCCATCTAACCCCACTTCAAAAGAAAAAGAAAAAAATCTGGATTATCCCTTTAAATAAGGGGGAAACTGAAGATGTCTATGAACTTCTCTCTTTGTTTCATCACGGTGTCGTCTGTTCAGCGTCGATGATTTTTAGGCTCCAGCCGATATGTGCAGCACATCATAAGTCATCCAGCAGAGGACAGATGTTTTTAGCACCACAGAATATATTGGATATATTGTAAATAGATATCATAGATTTATTCTGGAGAAAAAAAAAAGAAAAGAAAAAAGGTTTGCCCAGTGTGTGTATGTACGTATGTTATTTGTACAGAGAAGATCTAGTTTAAACAGGGAAAAAAAACAGAATATTATAGTTATTATAGCTAGCATTTATTATCAGGGGATGTCATGCTAACGAGAGACAGGAAACAGGCAGTTTTTCTAGACTCCAATCACCATGGCAACAGACATTACTGATCAACATCCATTAATAAATTACCATGTCATGCTACTGTATTACTAAGAGATGGCTGTTTTACCTGTTCAGGTGTGTAAAAGGGCTACGCTGTATTGGTAAATACAATGAACCTGCATCAGACACACACATTTATTATTAACATGCTCACACAGGCAACTCACTTCCTGGTTTGTGACATCATCAGCCCCTCTCTGCTGTTATAAACTCGGACCCACATGTATTATATCGCATGATCTTTATTTATTTTCTTCTTTCTGATGATGATTTTTGTTCATTTGAAGCACAAAGAAGCATCTGAGTTTTCTGTTTGCATCATTACTGTCTGGGCATGTTGGGTTGATTGATGTCATTTTCTCCTCCCTCTTTTCC